AGCAAATATGTCTGCCCGGAGGCACATTGGGAATCCTGAGGTGAGGGCCAGGTCCGGACCCGAGAGCCGGAGGGGGCGGGCGCACCGGAAAAGGCGCCACGTGGGCAGGGACGAACCGCCGGCCACTTCCGCCGCCTGGAAGGCGGGAAGTAGCCAGCGTGAGGAGGGGGCCGAGCGCAGGGCCTAGGGCGGGGCAGGCCTAGGCCCTGCGTCAGGAGGCGCCCTGTGGCGACCCGCGTGCTCTCCCCCCAGTGCGGACCTGACACCAGTGTTTGAGGGCTGGAGGAGCCAAGCACACAAAGACACAGCAGCCCCTGCCCGCAGACAGTTTACAGTCTAGGAGTGACACCTGCAGAAGGAGCAAAAGTCACAGACGCCCCAGAAGCATGGACGGAGACGAGGGGGCCGTCACTCCTGAGGGTGTGGATACAAGCAGACCAGGCCGTGGCAAAGGGAGCAGAACGCGACCCTTTGTCTTGTGCCTCTTACTTTATTCACCTCGTTTACCCTCGGTGCCCTCCTGCTCTTGTAGCAGGCGGTTTTAACGTCACCCAGTATTCTTTGACTCTTGCAGACACACTCCAGACCTTACAGAGAGAGCAACCAAGTCTCCACCCTTCGTGAGTTCAGCCTAGTGATGGAAACTTGCAAATTGGAGTACGCCACAAGATTGTGGCTTGAGATGTAAGAGGCAAGATTAGAACTCAGTCGAGGAAGGTTCTGGAGCTGGAAGGGGCCCAACCCAGCAAGGCCATTCACTAGTCAGGTGAAGAGGTAGACCAGCATGAACAAAGCTAAGGAGAAATGAACTCCTACAAGCCGATGTAGGGGTGTACTGAGACGAGGCAAGTTGAAAGGGGCATTCTGCACCTTCATATCAAACACCAGTTTTGTAGGACTTTCATTTCTTGATGAATGCCTGGTGTTCCAGGAGACGGCAGCATGTGCCTTGGAGCACCATGATTGTAATGTCCATATCATATTTTAAGTTTTTGTTTTTGAGACAGGGTCTCACATGTAGCCCTGTCTGTCCTGGAACTTGTTCTGTAGGCCAGGCTGGCCTCACACAGAGATCCATGCCTCTGACTCTTGAGTGCTGGTATTAAAGGCATGTGCTACGGACACACGACCTTGATAGTGATGTGTAAACACTGCACAGTGTCACTTACTGGAATATAAAATCCAACTCATTGAAGAAGAAAGTAGAATAGTGGTCACCAGAAATTGGGAATGGGGGTACAAAGAGATGCCCAGGTTCTGGTCACAGGATAGCAAGTTTGTTAGAACTGAAATTTTGAGGTCTATTTTACAACAGGATGGCTAAAACTAATGTATATTCAGATTAGCTAAGAGATCACAAAATGTGAGGTGATGACTATATTTACTAATTTGATTTAGTGATTCCACAGTGTGGGTCCTATAAATAAAATGTTTTGTCAACTAAAATAATATTAATATTAGATGCCCTTGATGAGGTAGGAGAGGTAGTTGTACAGTGACACCATATTTCTCCTGCCTGTTGGTCAGAACTCAAGAAGCTTTTAAGTTTTAGTAGTGTGATCTGATTTGCATCTTATACACAATTCCCAACACACCATGGAGAATAGAGTTGGAAAGGCCAAGGCAGAAACCAGACAGACTGACTAGGTGACAATGTCAATGTATGTCTAAACTGGGGCTAGGAAGTAGGGACAGAATTAAGGAGAAATATTAGGTGCAGAACACTCCCATCAGGCATGGTCACCTTGAGAAATGGCACTGAGATGGATCACTTCGGTTACCATCAGGGACCACTCATTGGTTCATCTCAATGAAATCAGGGATCTAGGAGGAAGAAGAGTATGCTAGAGGAGGAAGGGTACAAACGATTGCTGTGCTTACTGCCTTCTTTGAGTGGAGGACAGTTTCCAGGAATTCTTGAGAAAGAATGCATAAATTTTTTGTACCTAAAATGTAAGGCATATCTAACCCTGTTTTTATTCTAAATTAATTTTATTTATTTTTATTTATTTATTGCCTGAGAGTGTGGCTGAGGATAGAATTCTTGGTTGGAAAACATCAACATCTTGAAAACATTGCTCAGTGGCCCCACAGCCAGTGTTTCTGTAGAAAAATCCAAAGCCATCCTGTTGCTTTGTGACTTGTTTTTCCTTCCAGGAAGCTTTGTTTTGTTCCCACTGTTATGACATTTCACAAAAAGAGTCCTTGTTATGGTCTGTTTTCACTCACTTTGGTAAACACCAGAAACGTGTGTCTTTCTAGTCTGTAAATTTTTCTTGAGTTATTTTATTGTTGGCTTCATTTCCTTCACCCTCTTTCTTGCCATTCCTTATTTGATATTAGACCCATGTAACTGGTTCTCATGTTTTTCACTTTTATCTCCTGTCTCTATATTTTTGTCTTTCTTATTTTAAGAAATATAACTTTTTTTTTCTAATTTTTATATTGTTTTTCATCTCTGCTCTGTGTGGGGGGGTGGGGGGGTTGTGTGTATGGGTGTGTGTATCTGTAGGTCAGCAACCTCAGGTACTTCTCTCAAATGCTGCTCACCTTGGTGTTTTTGTTATTGGTGGTGGGTTTTGTTTGTTTTTTGTTGTTGTTTGCTTGGTTTCTTTTGAGACAGAATCTCTCACTGATCTGGGACTTAGCACTGAGCTGGGCTACCTGGGCACCACATCCCAGAGATCCACCTGCCTCTGCCTCCTTAGCACAGGAATTACAGGCATGTCATCGCACTTTTTTGTCATGCATTCTGAGAATCAAAGTCAGATCCCCATGCTTACCCAGCCATCATGTTACTGACTGAGATGTCTCTCAGAACCCCATCATTTTAATTTTTAAGGGCTGTTTTTCCCTCTGATGTCCCTTTAAAGAACTTTGCAGAAAGGTGCTAAAATAGTTAAGAGAGACCTGTGTGCCTTTCTCTCAGTTTTCTACAAGTGCACATCAGAACTAGAGTATTTAAGCTTGTACAATTTGTGCATAGTTCTGGGCCATCTCCTCACAAATGTAGATTTAATATAACCCAGATTTGCATATGTGTAGAGAAGAGCTACAGTCACAGTAAAGAACTTTGTTACCACAGTAGTTCCGTTATGGTACCTCTCCCAATCACAGCCATTTTCTCTCTTACTGATTACTGTGGTTATCAGGATGAGCCTGATAACCACAAATATGTTCTCATCTCTATAGTTGTTAGTTGTTATAGCCATTGTAAGAGTGCTTACAAATAGAATCATCCAATATATGACCTCTTCAGGTAGCTTTTTTTTCTACTCAGGATAATGTCCTTGAGACATATCAGGGTATTGAAACAGTTGACTGCTTAGTGCTGGCCAGTTTCTGTAGGGTTGATATACAGTTAGTTTACTGGTTAACTCATCCAATCAGTTTAAAACATTCTGGTTGCTTTCAGTTTGGGACTATTAGAAATAAAGATACTAGCATTTGGGTACAGCTTTTTGTGTAGACATTAATTTTCATTTCTGAAGATAGGTAGGTACCTAGGAAGACAGTGGCTGAGTTGTATGATAAGCATATGTTTAGTTTTAATAGAAAATGCCATTTGATTTTCCAGAGAGGCTGTACTGTTTTTCATCCCTGTTAATAGTGTAAGAGAATTTTTGATTTTGCAAAATGTTGTTAACATCTGATACTGCCCGTGTTAGTATAGCTGCTGTGGATAGGTACATAGTGTTATCTCATTGTGGGATTAAAAAAGCAACTATTCCAGCCTGGTCTCCAGAGTGAGTGCCAGGATATGCTCCAAAGCTACACAGAGAAACCCTGTCTCGAAAAACCAAATAAAAACAAAAACAAAAAAAGCAATTATTGGAGTGGGGGGTGTTTGCATGTGTGGGTATTATGGTATGTGTATAGAGATCAGAAGACAACTGGTAGCCATTGGTTCTCACTCCCACCATGTGGGTTGCCGGGCTTAGTAGTGAGTACCTTTACCCACTGAGTCATCTCACCCACCGCCATTGTGGTTTTTAGTTTGTATCTCCCTAATGGACACAAACTGGCTAGCTTTTCATTCAATTATGTGATTATCTGTCATCTAGACAACTTCTTTAGCAAAATATCTTTGTGTCTTTTCATTTTCTTCCCTCACTCCCTCCCCCTTTCTTACTTTTAAGATAGGGTCTCTTTTACACTGGAGCCTGAGCAAACCTTGAACTCACTGTAGTCCTCCAGCCTTAGCCTCTTGAGTGCTGGGATTACAGGTATGAACCTCTCCATTGGGCTTCTGCTCTAACACTTGAGTCTTCTATTTCTCTTTTGTTGTCATTGTTGGTGACTGCATAGACATTGTTTTTTTGACAACAGATAATAATTAGGATTTAAATTTCTGGGGTTTTTGTATGCCTTTACTTTGACACTATGCTTCTTATGAATAATGTGTCTGCATCATTATTACTGTTTGCGAGTGTTACTATCGAATTTTATTTTATTCTATTTTTTATAAATAATGTAGAAAATTTGCTATATCACTATCACTATAATTTTTTCATAATTATCATTTTCAAACTTTCTACACATTTTACTGAAAAATTTATGTCAGTGGCAAGGAGAGATTTATATTGTAATTTTATTTTACATAAATGTTATATTGTACATATGGTGTTTTGATTTGCCCTCCCCCCTCCCACACACACACAATTAACAATATGTCTTGAAGCTCTGGGTGCCAGCTGACTCCATTTCTGTGAGGCCTGCCTTCGCTTGTAGATAGCTACCTTCTTATGATGTCCTCACAGATGTGATCAAAGAGCCAGTTTATGGGTGTCTCGTTTTTAAAAAGTTACCTTGTGTTTCTTAAAAGTTTATTTGTGCACTGGGCTGTGGTGGCACATGCCTTTGATCCCAGCACTTGGGAGGCAGAGGCAGGCAGTTCTTTGTGGGTTCAAGGCCAGCCTGGTCCATTGTGAGTTCCAGGACAGTCAGGGCTACATAGTGAGACCCTGTCTCAAAAAACAAAACAAAACAAAACTTACTTGTCAGTGTAGGTGTGGTATATGCCTGTGTAAAGGTTCATTCCTGTGTATGTGTGGTCAAAACTCGACATTTAGTGTCTTCCTCTGCTGCTTATCTTTTGAGACAGGGTCTCTCACTGAACCTGGAGTTCTTAGGTTAGCCCTGCTGGCTGATCAGCGAGCTCCAGGAATCTGCTTGTCCCCATCCTGTTGCCCATGTCTACCACCACTGGGGTTACAGATACATGCCGTCATGGTCAGCCTTTTCTGTGAGTGCTAGGGATTGGAGCTCAAGGCCTCCTGCTTGCATGGTAAGTCCTTTACCAAGTGAGCCCTCCCCCAACTACTGGCAGTCTCTTCTTACATGGACACTGATACCGTTAGACAAGGTAAGGTGTTCTTGGGACTCTTTTAACCCTCAGTTGTCGGTTTATGTTTCTGAGTAGGAGGTTTTTAAAAGGTGATTGAGATATTGAGGGGGTTTTTATTTGTTTGTTTGTTTGCTTTTCCATTGAGAAGAGGCCTGCTGCTGGTGAGCTACAGATGGTGACATTTACAAGATGCCTTGTGCAGCAGTGTGTGTGTGTGTGGGGGGGTGATCCAGCGAGCCAGCTCCAAAGAGCTTCCATCAGCCATTATTCAGCCTCTTAGTCCCGTTGTGGGGGATGCTTGAGGCAGCTGATTCTTTGGCCTTTTAAAGATTGTTCCTGGCTTTCCCTGGAGCTCCTTATTCTTCAGCTGTCCCAAGTCTATCAAGTCATTTTCACTTGTTGATCTCTAGTGATATATGGCCTGTTCCTCTGCCAACCACTTCATTACTTATTCCCGAGGGCTCTGCCTTCTCAGTCACTAGCTTCTCTGTGGGTTTGAGGACTCTGGTGCTTGATTGCTGTCATTTTTCCCACTCTCTCTGCATTTGGCATTGTTTATGTCCTTAAAATACTTTTTAATGAAGTCTTGCTAAGGTTTTGGGAGGGAGTGAAATTAGATGCATCCATTCAGTCTGTTCTCTGTCCCCAGTTTATCATCATCTTCAATGATTTCATTTACATGTTTTTTCTGACATGCTCGAAGGAATGTAAGACAGGGACCTTAACTCATCTGCACCTCCGTTGTCAGGCGTCGTAGCTCCACCAATACTTTTGAATAAATGAGTCTGTGTCTCAAGCTGAAATGAGAAGTTAAGGGTAAAACTCCACCATTTGGAGATTAGAAGTCTATAAAAGGAAATAAGTCAAGTCTTTGACTCACAGAGAGTCTATTGATTGAGGAGGTGGAATCCTGAGAAACACAGTAATTAGGGGGCTGGCAGGAGAATGAGTCATGTATCAATGGAACGTCAGGGAAAAGAGATATTACTGAAGCCAATTGCAGTAGAAACAAGTGTGGGTTTTGTTGTTTTTTTTTTTTTTAATATTCTATAGTGTGCTATAAAAGGATCAGGAAAGTTTAAGGAAAAATATCCATTGTATTTGGCAAGTAAGTTTTTGATGTTAGGTAACTGGCATGAGAACTATATTCAGATGGTAGAGACAGCAGTCATTGCCGTGGATGACAGAGTAAATTTCAGATACACAGTGTAGACTTCTGCCATTGTTACACTTAGGAAACTTAGCAGAAGAAATAAGGGTGGGACACTACTCCAGTTATATGTAGATTTGTTATGAATAATGCCCTTATTTAGTGGCTTGACAGGAGCCTTTCTGTTATTCTCTCTTGTGACTCTAAGCTCTGCTACATGGTTATCTCATGAAAGCCCATGTGATTTTGCAGATAGTCTGAAGCTAGAGGTTTGTTTTGTTTTTTAACTCCACTTACATGTATGTCCATTGATGCTGTCTGTACAGATGTCCTATTCCATGTGGCCTAGACTTTCTCACACTTGGTTGAGTTCTAAGATCAAGTGGCCCAAGAGAACCAGGTACAAGCTGTACTGTCTTTTACCATTGAGCCTTAGAAGTCATATCTCAGGCTCACCAGAGTCATAGGCCTCATCTCTCAGACAGCAGACTGTAAAACCATAATCTAATGGGATGGGAAATTTTGACTCTACCTTGAAAAATACAGTCTGCCATGGGTAGTACCTACTGAGAAAGTAGGTATTGCTGTACATGGAGTCTTGGGCCAAGATGACTGTTTGATATTAACATAACTGGATCAATTAAAACACCCATTTTTAAAAGTTCCTCTTTGAAAAACCTATTTTAATATGAGATTATCTCAAGACCAGTATTCACCCCCCTCATTTGTGAGCATAAAAGTAGGGAGGTTCTGAACCAAATGTACAGTGTCTTTAAAAAAAAAAAATCAAGTGTGCCAGACAGCATGTGAGTCTTGTTTTGAGAGATAGGAAATCAGAAAAGCACCTGTGGTTCAGACGTGCTGCTGGTCATTTGTTTTGTTTTGTTGTAATATTTCTTCAGAAAAATCCCATTGTGGGTTTGTCATTAATCCTTCTTCTCCAAATCCTTCTTCCAAATCCTTCTTCACAAAGCTGTGTCTCACTCTGCAGAGTCTGTCAGATTGTGGAGTAGAGAACTGCTAAAACACTGTTGTGATTGTATGACTCACGTCTCAGTATTTTTACTACATTCCATTGTTGCCAAGGGCTAGTCCTCACTCCTAATCTATAGTGAGGCTTCTCCATCTGGAGCCTCACGCTCCAGGTCCAGTGTTACGGCCCAGGGTTCCACATCCTAATGATTGCTGAGGTTTGGGGGGTTACATACTCCTTTGGAAATTTGGTGGGAACTTAGGACCCTGGCAGAGAAAATGTACTGAATTTTTAACTTCCGGGATTTTAGTTTCACGGGATTCATGGAAACTTACCAGTGATGTCATGTGAAAACCCTGGCAGGAGTTCAGATTCACAATGGCTAATCATTAAATGAGATGAAGTGGGCAGATGCTTAGTCAAATGCCAACACATAGGACATGCTCATTCGGTAAAAGCAGCAGTTGCCATTCTGCCCACTTTCAACTTCCTTCAGCAAATACAACAATTTGTTTTCCAAACATACCTTTAAAATGGCTTTGCTATTAGAATTTGTTTCCACATAGAATACTTTTTCCATCCCTCTTATTATCTAGTACCCAATCTTCCATGAAGTCTGTCTTCTCAACCCAATGTCTGAGCAATCTTTTTTCAGACTTCTAAGAGTCTCCAATGTTGAGCTACTCTTTATGGTACCAGTGTGTGCATGGGCCATCGTGTGTATGTGTGTGTGTGTGTGTGTGTGTGTGTGTGTGTGTGCGCGCGCGCGCGCGCGCGCAAGTGCGCGTGTTCGTGCACACCTCTATGTGTGTATTGAGTTGGGTTCTTACAAAATTGCCCAAGTTGCCCTAGAACTCACAGTCCTCCCACCACCCAACCCTCCAAAGGACTTGGGTTACAGGGCCACTGTGCTCAGTGTATTTGACAGGCAATTCCTGCTCCTTTGTTAGCACAGGGTTTTGTAACATACTGAGAGATGTACAAGGTGGAGCCCCTTTTCCAAGATGGACTGTAATCAGAATATGTGGCCAAATGAACCCTTTCCTCCAGGGTTGCTTTTCGTCATGGTGTTTATCACAGCTGCAGGAGAGTGACTAAGATAGTAACCCTCTAGCAATGTGCCTTGAAGGGTTTTTGACATAGTAGATTGTTTCCAAAAAGCCTGTAGTATTCTACACACATGAACTTTCTCAACTTCCTGCCCTCTCATGATGAGCTTTATTATGACCATAGGTATTTTATCTTTATTTTAAATTTGTATCAAAAGTTGCCCCTTCCACCTGGGCTCTGGGCCCCTGCCCATTCATCTGTAACCATATTTAAATCTCCACATAAACAGCACCACAGAGAGGAGGCGGTGGAGAGGAAGAGGGAAAGGAGAGAGTTCACCTTGGCAAATCTGGGAAGAAAAACAAGAAGACCATCTGTCTACTAACCACCACTCCCATACATCTGACCTATTGTTTTTGCTTCTGCCCTTGTTACTTTACTAGAGCTGCTTCCATCCGGCCATCAATAGTGTCCTGACTTATAAATCCAAATTTACTTTTCTATTCTGTTACTTGACCTGGACCCTTGTTTGCCTGTTCTTGCTTGGCCTCTTGTTCTTGGATTTGACAGTTTTGTTCCATGCTGACTGCTTCCTTCTTCCTGTAACTCTTTTCTTCTGTAATTTTCATAATCCACTTTGTGGCCTCTTCTGAATCTCAGCCAGGGCTCTTCCCCCATGGCTGTCAGGTTTGGGAAATTTCTTCCCAGTGGACAATTTTCCTAGAGTGATTTTAGCCGGCCCCATGGCTTCATATGCTGCCTATATACAAATAATCCCAAATTGTTTTTTGTCCTAGCTTTTGCCTGATCTTTATGTTCCATACTTAATATTCCCCCACGCTTCATACATAATATTTTTCCATATATGCTTCCTCTTTCACTACCTTTTTCCACTGCCCTTTTTGTATGGTGGTTCATGAGTAGCCATGTTGATTTTACATGTTAAAGATGGAGGAGTGGGCACTAGGCAGGGCTACAACTCCAGCCTCACATTTCAAAGATTTTGAAACTTTCTTCTTCTCTCTGTTGCCACTGTTGTAGAGCTTCCTATCCCCTAGCATAAGTCTCTCAACTGATTTCTGTGCCTCTTTTCCTGACTATGATCATATTCTCTGTATTATGCAGAAAGATCATTCCAAAATATAAGTAAGATCTCATCACTCCTCCCTAAACCTTCAGTGACTCCTCTTCTCTTGGACTTCTCAAGTTCCATACTGTTGACATCTGGGCTGGCTCTTGTGGCATCAAATGTTAACCAGTATCCTTTGCCTCTTCTTAGGAAATGCCTTCAACACACACACACACACACACACACACACACACACACACACGCCAACATACACTACTCAGTTATAACAAACAACCCAAAATGTCTCTAGACCTTGATAAATGTCCCCAGGCACAGAGCTGGCAAAATTGCACTGATTGACAGGACAGGATTCGAGTACCTTAGGTGTTTTGTTTTGTTTTGTTAGATAGAAGACCCTTTGTGACCTGCCCCTGCCCTATCTCTGCAGTGTCATTTGTTCTTTCATAACCCCCAGTGCTCCGTGCCTTCCAGTGATGGCCAGATTTCTTGAGACGTCACCTACACTTTGTCTTCAGGTTTCAACTGAGCTTTTCTATTTGTTGGGACCTTGTAATGCCCACACACCACTCTTTTCACTCAACTAACCACTGTGGCTCTCAGAATTCAGCTCAGCAAGCAATCTCTAGGAATCACTTGGTCTTGTCAAGGTACTAGTCTCATGTGTCCCCATGCCCCTCTGTTCCCTCTCCTTGTCACATTGACACCTGTATATCCACAGGGAGCAAGAGATGATGGCCAAGGCTCTTTTTACCTCTTTGTCCCACATAGGAACCTAGTCTTCTAGGCATTTAGTAATAAATGTCCGCAGCATGGATGGCACTCACTAAGCATTTGTAGAAGGAATGAATAGTCTCTCTCTTGAAACGGCTTCTTGTCCCAGAGCTTTCACTTCCCACCATTCCAGCCTGTGTAAGTCATGGAAACAAAACCAGTTGGTCAGTAGGTCAAGAAACAGCCATCCCAAGGCAGGAGTTTTCAGGAAGAAAGTGTGGCTCTTCCTCAGAGCCTAGGACATTCTGCTGGCAATGCAGCACAGGGAGCTTACTGTCAATTCAGGCCCTAGAAAGGACTAGGAAATTGAACAGAAATGAGAACTTGGAAAAGAAATCTGACATTTTTCTCCAGCAGCATATGGATTTCTCATTAGTCCGTGTAAGGGAAAACCGGGGGTGGGGAGGCCTCAGCAGCTGCAGCTGTCCACACTCCCTCCCCTCATCATTCTGCTGCCACCACACCTGGTCCCCAGAGGCACCCTCACATCTCAGCTATTTGGCTGAGGGATGGACAAATCTCCATGGTTCAGCAGAGACTAGCCTGGAATTTTTCAAAAGAAGCTTTGCTAGGAAACAAAGCAAAAGTAAAAACAGGAAATAGGGTATAGAAATGATAAAAATATAGACTAGGGGGAAAAGTCCCTCAGCTTATTTACACAGATCCTTAGTGTGTGTGTGTGTGTGTGTGTGTGTGTGTGTGTGTGTGTGTGTGTGTGTGTGTGTGTGTGTGTGTGTTATTTTGCTAGGCCTAGTTCACTGTTTAATTTTTCATGATACTGTCTGCCTCTGGGAACTTGGCCTTAAGTCTCTCTTCATGTTTGTATGCCGTTCTTTCTCTTACGAACCTTCTCCATCATCGTCTGGGGAAGGTGTCGGAACTGGCATCGCACTTGCTTGCTTTTCTAAGCAGCCATTGCTGATCACAACGGGAAATGCATTTTTCACCATTTTTTTTTTTTTTTTTGAGGCTAAGCCAGCTCAGTGATTGCAAACACTAGCAGAGAACCAATGCTCAGTGTTCATAATAAAGGTTTTACTTGCCTGGTGTGAAATGAAAAACACAGACAACGTCATTGGCTTTTTAATAACATGAGGGAACTGGTCTTTTTACCCTGAGGGTTTTGTTTTTTTTTTTAAACCTTTTAGGTAATTGAAATAGCAGATGGTGGGGCTAGGAGTGTAGTGGTGTAGTGTGGTTGCCTAGCATATGATAGGCTCTGGATTTGATTCTCAGTTCTGGAGAAAAAAATAGCAGATAGTTTATGTGTTTGTCATTAAAATTTTAATTAAAAAATAAATATACTTACCTTAAAAAATAAAACAGCAAGTGGAAGTTGTGAGGATTTTATGTACTTACTTGGCAAAATTTTAAAAAATAAAACTGGATAATTTTTTGTAGGTACCCCCAGTTTTTGTTTTGTTAGTTTTTAAAAATTACATTATATGTGTGCACAAATGTGTGCCCGCATGCCACAATGTTTGTATTAAGGCCATAGGACAACTTTCTGGAGTTGGTCCTCTCCTTCCACCATGTGGGCCCTAGGGATGGCATGCAAGTCATCAGGGTGGGTAGTAAACATCTTTACCCACTAGGTTGTCTCTCTCCGGCCGTACTACCCTCAGGTTTTAAAAATTCTTCTTGGGCTCAGAAATCCAAAATGTTGGCCAACAGGTATTAAATACATCATAAAAGTGTCGTAGGCTATTTCTGTGTTTTGTGGGCCATCACAACGGCATTCTGATGCGTGCAATTTTTTTCACAGTCCTCCCAACAGCCTGCTTGTCCCTCACTGTTTTCTAAGGCAAGTGGTCCAGTCTTTGACTGTTTGACATTCTTTCCTTAGGAACCAGGTAGTATAGTTCAGTCATCAGACAAATGATCATTGATTGACTGTAACAATAGTAAATGGACTTAGCACATACTAGGTCCCACAAACATGAGAAACTCCTTGTCCGTGCCTTCAAGAAAAATCCCAAACTAGGGGGAAGGATCTAGTGGTCCAGGATGGGATGGGGTTCTGTATTCTGCAGGCCAGGGGAGAGTGCCTCTGTATTCTGCAGGCCGGGGGAGAGTGCCTGTTTCTGCCTCAGGAAGCTTCACAGTGGACAAAGGTTTTGCAAAAGAGTTGAGGAAAGGTACTTTTGGCAGTTATCTGCCCAAACTGGCAATATTAGGAAGGACAGTCCCTACCAATGCAACATGGAGCACATGCAGGAAATGAAGGTTGGAAGGTACAGCTACTTTTCGTATCCATAGAAACCAGAAAGAGGTCAGAGCAAGGAAGCTCTTTACTCTGAGCTAACCTTTCCTTAGTGGCTTTTTATGTTCTTCTCGGGAATTTAATATGGGGATTGTCTGCACTTGGATTCCAAGGGCTAACTACCAGAACACAGCACAACTCACGGCAAATCTGACATAGACATCTCTGCCGACCATAAGCTCACCCGGAGCCCAACATGAGCCTCAGCTGCCACAGAGCAGATGCCATGGCAGTGACATCTGTGGAACCCCAGAGAGCCTGCCAGAGGGTCCCTGGCCTGCCAGCATCTGGAGCATCTGTATCCTGCCTGCCACACTGTAGGGAGCCGGGGACAAGGCCTAGGAGTGTCCAGGGGAGATGGTCCTGAAGCCATCATAAAAAGAATGACATTAGAAAGAGGACAGCATACTTACGTCATTGGAAGATACCCTTCCTAAGGTTTTTTTTTGTTTTGTTTTGTTTTGTTTTTTTCCCCTTAGCACACAGTACTCTGAGATTAGTTTGATAAAATGTGGAAATGTTTTGATAGAAACAAGGTAACTGCCTCCACCAGAGATGTCACATTGCAGAGACCGTTCTGTAAGGGACAGTTGATCCTGTTCGTCATTAGAGTCTGAAATTTCAGCATGTGTCCCTCTGTCCCACCCTGGCCCTCACCTTAACCCCTTCCTTGTGAATTGTCTTTTTTTGTAGTATCTGACCAGACGGATACCACAGAACCCAAGGTATCAACATATCAAGTCACGACTGGATACTGGTAAGTAAAAGCTGTTGATAGACAGGAAAGTGCCCATCATACGGGGATCAGCCATAGCTAGAAGTTTCTTTTTGTCTTGCCTGATGTCTTTGAATGCTGTTTTTCAGATTATCAGTAAAATTTCGCACTCAGGTAATTTCAGGTATCATTGCTTACCCCATTAGAAAGCATCTAAATCAAGAAAAGGAAATCCTAGGAATTGAAGCCATTGTTCAATAAGTTGCAGGGCTGACGCTGAGTAAATATCAGGAGGTCACACTCCATTTTGGAGCACCTTAAGTGTACTCCATCAAACTGACAGCAATAGATTATACATGTGCATGTTTGTTCAGTCCAGTGTTTGCACAGTGCTGACTACATGTAAAAGTGTGGACTCTGCTAGATAGGAGGATGGCTGTGGGTTGTGGCTTTTGCAATTAGAGCATCAAGACTCTAGTGGAGGCCCGTTGACTTGAATGAGTAACTAAAACACCAGCCGAGAGTGAATTAGTGCTGCCCTTAGGTGGAAGCAGTTGCAAGAGGGCCTTGCTAATTTCCATGCTGTCTACATCTCTCCAAGTTATGCTGCTGCTGCTGCCCAGATCCCTGTGGGTCTGCAGTCTTGTGAGGTTTGGGTTGTTTGTCTCTGTTTTCTTCAGCCTTTGCCTCGCAATTCAGAATTTTCCTGCAATATCCAGAGACACCTGAGGAAAGTGAAGGGGAGTGTTGAGGCTCTTTAAATCATCTTTCCCTTTCTCCAGTCTCCTTCAAAACCATGCTCTTGGGTTCTGTGTTTCCCTGTATCACTAGCAGAGATGCAAATGCTTTCAGTGTACCAGACTTGCATGTGCTATGTCTTTGAGACATTCCATGCTACACAGATATTTGTTATTGCACATAGCCTATGCTATGGGCAAGTGGAAATGTCATTACTGTTTCAGAGGAGAAAATTGTGACCTGGAGATTTTGTGATTTACTCAGATTTCAGTGAAGGAGATAAAAACTAGGGTTGTTGGCAGGTGAGGAAGTCAACGCCGGAGAGTGGATGCCAAGCCGATGCTCTGGCCCTTAAACTTCCCGTCCTGTGTTTCCCCCAAATGTTTCTTCTCCACAATATCCTCAGCATCCCCAGCTTCCCTCAATGGCAGGTCATCCGCCTTCCTGGAAGACAAACAGTGCCATAATTTTGTAAGGGGCTCATCTGTTCTGTTAAAGACCACAGTAAAGAAATGAATTTCAGTCGAAATCTTTTTACCCCTATACATTTTTTTTGCTACAAATCCCTAAGTGACCTGAAACTGGCCATGTAGATTAGACCAGCCTTGAACTCAAAGAGATCTATCACTAAAATTTAAAAATTTTTGTCTTTTAAATGAATGGGAGTATAGCTCAGTGGTAAAGTGCAGGTCTAGCTAGGCCTTGAGTTTATTTTTTGTTCCCCAATAAACAAACAAACAAACAAGATTTAAGAGCCCAGGTTTATTTCAGACATCTAGATTTATCTATACCTGTATAACATTTTTCTCATGGAAATCAAATAGGGATTTGTGCCACCCACTTCTATCTATTCAATTCAACCCATAACCAAAATTTGACTTAATAATGGTTTCTGAAATTAATTTTAATTTTTAATGTAATGCACAACATCTGATTTTATAGTGCATATTAAATGCCAGAATCCTTTTATACCCCGAGAGTTTTTATCTGCTTTTTGTTAATTAAGCTTTTTATTTTGAAATAATTGTGGATGCAGATGCATTTGTAAGAAATGAAATGGAAATTCCACATACTCTTCACCTAGTTTCTCTCAGCCTGCACTATTGCTATGGTGATAACAGCATTGACAGGCACAGCCAAGCTATAGAACACTGCTGTCCCCACAAAGACTCCCATGTTGTCCACTCTCCACCCCATCCCTCTTTAATCTTCACAGTTGCTCATTTTTTAAACAACTGCTAATTTTTCCAGTCTCTCATTTTGTCTTTTTTTTTTTTTTTTTTTTTTTTTTTTTTTTTTTTTTTTTTGAGTGCTACAGCTATGGAGCTATACAGTATACAGCATTTTAGATTGTGTTCTGCCATTCTTCTGCTTCTTCTCCTTGCTTTTATACATGTGTGTTGCTGTGAAGTAAACACAGGACCTTAAACATGCTAGGTTATTGCTCTGCCACAGAGCTATACTTGTCCAGCCTAGACGGACATTTTACATTGGTCAGAATTCTCTGGAGCTTCAAGTTTGTGTAACAGCATTTTATTCCTTTGTGTTACTGGCTAGTATTCCCTGATATGGATGTACTTGATTTAATCATTGTCTAGTTGAAGGAAATTAACACTGTTTCCAATTGGGGGATAGCTACAAAATAAAAATAAATAAATAAATAAATAAATAAAAATAAAGTGTTGTAGGCACTCATTTACAGATTTTTGTGTGAGCAAGTCTTAGTTTTTCTGGAATAAATGCCTAGAGGTACAGTTGCTAGGTCATATTGTAGCTTGACTTGATTCACTTTGCATTTTTGTCTCTTTTGTCTCTTTTTTAGACAGAGTCTCATGCAACCCAGACTAGCCTCATACTCCTTTTATAACCAAGGCTGGCCTTGAACTCCTGATCTTCCTGCCTCCACCTCCCAGTTTTAAGAAATGGTCAAACTGTTTCCATTTACCATCCCCACCAGTAGTAGATGAGTGATATTTTCTCCACATCTTCACCTGCATTTGGTGTCGTCACCATTGTTTCTTTTCCCGTGCTGATAAGGTCTGTAGTAGTATAGCATTGCATGTGCACTTGCCCGCTAGCTAATGAGGGATGACTGTTTCCAGTCTGTCTTCTTTGCTGAAATGCCTATGCTCGCCAGGTTACTTGCATTTTTGTCATTGAATTTCCAGTTTCTTATGTATTCTAGATGCTTGTCCTTTGTGAGAGGCCTGGTTTGTGAGTATCCTTTTTCCATCTGAAACTTGTCTTTTACTCCTCCTGACAGTCTTTGAAGAAGAAAACCTTTTTATCTTGATGAGGTTGTTTTTTTGTTTTTGTTTTGTTTTTTATCTGTTTCCTTTGGGTAATCATAATTCCATCATCCACTTTTAAGAACTCTTGACCTAAACTACATCCCAGAGACACTTTCTATCAGGACTTTCTTCCTGAACGTTTTTAGGTTTTACATTTAGTTCCATGGTACATTTTGAGCTGCTTTTATGTAAAGACGGCTGACTTAGATGAAGATTAGCTTTCTAATTTAGGGGTATCCAACTGCTCTGGCATCATCATCTTTGTCAACAGTCAGGAGAATATTTATGTGGGTTTATTTCCAGGTCTCTGTTTTGTTCTCTTGATCTATCTGTGTAGCCTTTTGCCAACACCACAGCCTTGATTAATGTAGCTGCATAGTAAACTAGATACTTGGAATTGGTGAGCCCATTCTGTTTTTCTTTACAAAATTATTTTAACTATTCTGATTTCTTTGCTTTTCCATACAAATTTTAGAATAATTTTCTTTACTTTTACAAAAGGGCTGATTTTGTTTTGTTTTGTTTTGTTTTGGGTTTTTTGAGAGAGTTTTTCTGTGTAACAGCTCTGGCTATCATGGAACAATTTGTAGACCAGGCTGGCCTGGAACTCACAGAGATCCACCTGCCTCTGCTTCCTGAGTGCTGGGATTAAAGGCGTGTGCTGCACCACCACACCTGGCAAAAGGGCTGATTTTTAATAGAAATTATTCACCAATTTGGAGAGAACGTCTTGACCACATGGAGTACTATTGATCTGTTCTCTGTTTCTGTGGCTTTGCCTATTCTGACCACTCGTCTAGGTGAAGATGTATAGTATGTGGTCTGCTGTATTTGTTCCCTGTAACGTAGTGAATGTACTCAAGGTTTCTTCATGCCACAGCATATGTCAGTATTTCATTCCTTTTTATTGCCAAATAATGTCCTATTGAGCAGGTATTCCATATTTTGTTTCTCTACTCACCAGTTGATAGACATTTGGATTACTCAAACTTTTTGGCCATGGTGTGTCTAAGAACGTCAGTACATGCAAGTTTTTGTGTACATGTGTTTCTAGTTCTCTTGGATATATATTGAGGAGTTGAATTGCTGGTCATTTGATACCTTTCTTTTTTTTTTTTTTTTTCTGAGAACATGCCGAACTTTTCTAACCAAGCCACATGGCTTTACTTTGCCATCAGTAGTGCAAGAGGGCTATGTCCTCTCCACATCTTCACCATGGCTTTGCCCATCATCTTGACTGTGTCCACCATTGTGGGCATGAAGTATCTTCTCGTGATTTTAATTGCATTCCCCTAATGTCTAATGATGATGACCACCCTTTCTGTGTGCTTTTTGGCACTTGTATGTTTCCTATGGAAAAATGTCTATTCAGATCATTTGCTCATTTTAAAACTGGTTATTTTTCCAGTTCCATTTTAAGTTCTTTTGTTTATTCTGGATACTAGGCTTTTAACAGAAATATGATTTTCAGATGTATGCTCCTATGCTGTGGGTTGTCTGGGGTTTTTGTGGGATTTAACTGGAGGAATAAATTACATCTACCCATCTTTCCTAGAAGCAAAAGTCTCTCAAACTAGTTTTGTAATAGTTTTTGGAAGGGCCACAGTGTGCCTTATTGCTTCAAGCTCCCAAGTGCTTTATAGTCAGTGTGGGAGAAAAACTCTATTCTAGCGTTTGGTTTGTGTGTGTGTTTCACATGTAGCCATCAGTCAACTTCAGGGAGAGAGCTTTAATGTATTTTTGTGACTTAGCTCTCTGGTGGGTTTTGTGCTAAGATGTACAACCTTTGGGGGCTATCAAGGCCTACAGGAACCATAAACATATCATTTGCCCAAAGGTGATCATTGCAGTAGGTAACAATGTTGAGGAATCCTGCTGAAGTAAACACTAAGAGAGACTTCAGAGTCCCGGCTGCAGGAAGAAGGTCTCACCTGTGAGTGTTTTTAAGCTCTTCAGCCAGAACCATAGAAATAGGCAGAATGAGTGAGCAGCTCCATTTCTAGGCTAAATAGGTGAGCCTTTAATCTTTTCTTATAAAACAGTGATCAATTTAGAATTAATCACACGCACACACACATACAAAATCAGGAACTCTGTGGCATGTCTTGTCTTCTGGAAAGGCAGGTCCCTTTCTCCTGAAGGAGGCTGTTTTGTCTTTGTGCTCCTGACTCTACTTCCTACAGAGACAGAGCCCTGTTGTGCAGCTGTGGTGGATAGTAGAATTATGTTGACCTTCCAGTCGTCCCTTTGTTTCATAGATTCCTAGGTGTATCTTTTCAGTTCCCACCATTGCCAGACTGTGCCTGAAGTGGGCTGGCTTCTGAGGCACCCCTGCAGTTTGCTCAGTTGTCCCTCTCTGGGTTTCTGCTCTGCAGCTGCACAGGTTTTATTAAGGGGCGTTCTCTGAAGCACTGGGCTCTCCCTGTGTTAGCCTTGTCTTTCATCGCTGCTGCATTCTTCTCTCATTTCTGTTTTCAGTCGAGCGTCTTTAGCTTTCCAAACCCTGTAGCTCTCCTCCCCAGGGTCTTTTCTAGCATGATTCTTTATTTTTGTGGATGTCACCTTCCTTTTGTTACATCTGCACAACTAATCATTTCCTTTTCTTTTCCTTAGTCTCTACTTTCCTGATTATGCACTAATAGTTTTGATCTTAAGCACTCAAGCTCATTACAGGCTACACGCGCTTCATTTCCATTTGGTATCTGATTTGTCTCTTACGTCAAAGGAAGAATGTATGTGAAAAGCTTTACAAACCAGAAAGCTGTAGACTCACGTATAACTGATCTGGGTTAACAAAGGGCCACTGTGCCTCCTTTCACGCTTCCTGCTCCTTCAGAGCCAAAAGAACTTCTCCATAGAGGAGGGAAATATTGAAGAAAAAATAAAGCCGTGGTGCTGTTTCTTAGCAACTGAATTCCTGCCTTATAAATCTTACCCTCTCTAGATTACTGCTGCTCAGAGTCATTTGCTTTTGTTACATGTTCAGTACAAATAACGTTATTAAATTATAGGAACACAATGGGGAAAAAAATCAAAGCAGTGAGTCACTCCATGAATCGATTGTACTCTGTCTTTGCACAGGGCTACTGATAGAGTTGAGTTGTTTCTTTCTCTTGATTCAAATTGTGGAACTCTTGTTAGATATCTTTCATTGCAACTTCAGTGGTAAACAAGGTAGAAGCTAAATATCACCTTAGGCATTTCTAGGTTGCCTGAATCGATGGCTCATATGTGTACTCTGTAACATAATTGTGGATCAGTCAAGTTGCATATCTTTAAAGGAAATCAGAGGATCTGATATATGAAACTCAAGCCAAATCAGGATGTGATTATTTACATTATAAAATGACTTTCTCTAAGGACTTTTCAAATGGTAGAGTTTTGTAGTATATTTCATCCAACTAGTGGTGTGTGTGTGTGTCTCCTACGCTAGACACAGGAATACAGATTGTGCGTGTGGATGTGCAGATAAGCAGCCCTAGGCTTTCTGTATAAGGAGGTAGATAAGGCAGTCTAGTCAGTGATAGATGCCTTGTGAGAGGCAAGCCGCTTGCTGCTTGCTGTAGGAGTGAGGGGAGGGAAAGGCCACACTTCCTGCTGGGGGAGCCGGTGCAGGGATTCTAGAAAATGAAGGCTAGCAGAGCTCAAGGTTGGCATCTTCCCTACCAGAGCTCAAAACTCAAATTCAGTATCGGGCAGTGGACAGCCACTCAGCTTTTATTTTGCTTTGTTTGGCTTTTTAATTAGTCTTTTTTAGGAAAAATTGGCAGTAATACTGGATTTCAAAAAGTCTTAAAAGATGAATTCCCTTTTCAGGCTCCTTTGGTATAAAAGCCATGTCTGTAAATAAATGGCCTGTGAAGTTCGACCATTTCCAGTCAGTGTTGCAATTAGATGCAGTAAGACAAAGCACTTATTTGACACACCACTATCAGATGCATGGTAAAATCCCTCTTTTCATCCTTTCTCAAATCATTTACAAGGCCGGCGGCAGTCCTCCTACCCACTCCCTTCTCCAGCTGAAGCAGTCTAGAAACCCTATGCTCTCTTTTCTCCTCCACACCTGGACAAGAGTGAGTGTCTGTAAAGAAAAGAGCCTTTTATTACTAGCCATCTTAAATTTGTTCATAATTTTGCCAAGTATTTGTAGAAACGCAAGAGGTTTTTGTTTCTCTGCCTTTTCCTTCAGTAGGAAAAACAAATGCTGGAGGTGAAGCCCCTGCCTCTGAGCACTCTGGTGGAGGTCTGCTGATGTAAGCTGGGATGCTGTGTGAACCTATAGGAAATGGTATAGAGAAGACATTAATTATAGCTTAGTGGTAGAGCACTTACTTAGTATGTATATGGCCCTGGATTCAATTCTCAGCACTGCAGAAATTTTTAAAAATACGTACATACATATATAAATTTTAGATAATTGTTAGTAGAAACTGTATTAGTTGTGACCACAGTGTTTTAATAGGAGAGAAAATAAATGGAGCTGGCTGTTGTTCTCTGTCCCTCTGGGAATTTGTAACATCCAAATGGCCCTGTGATCAAAGAAGGAACACTCCCCCACCCCAGGTTGCAATGTTTTTAACCCACAGGAGGGTTGTGTTTGTTGCATAGGGTAGACTCCTTGCCTAGCATGCAGGAAGCCAATCTCCACTACCAGTTACAATAAAACACCAGTGGAAAAGCCAGGTGGCTCTGTGAACCATACTAGAAACCAGGAGGTTGGGAATGCTAATCCTTGAATAATTGGTAAGTTGCTGCATTGCTGGGCAAATTGATGAGGTGGTTTTTTTTTGTTTTGTTTTGTTTTGTTTTCTTCCTCCCAGTTTTCTGAGTAGATTGCCTGAAGCTCCCCTAAACCTAAAGAAACTGCCGCTCCAAGCACAGAGAAGGGGCCAGTCATGAGTGCTCTTGTGTTGAGTGTTTTAAGGATAAAACTGTAGGATGCTGAACAGCAAACTAATTGGCGTTTTCTTCAAAACTTCTGTGCGTTGACTGGCAAGTCCTCACTTGAGCTCAAAGCTGCAGTAGGGAGGAGGGTGGGACCCAGAAAAATTGATGGTCTCTGCTGTGGAATTCCCGGGTCAATTCTCGGGTCAGTTCTCGGGTCAAAAGGCTTATTATAGACATTTAAGGAGTCTTGGCACTTTCTTTCTCTCCCTCTGTATATCCTCCCCACAAAAGGAGGAAGAAAGCTTTGAGCCAAGAAAGAAAAACCCAAAGCTCCTAAAACAGATTGTATTTGGTTCTTGTCTGGTTCTTGGTGGTTTGGGAGGGTCTTCTGAAACATAGTCAGGGTCTCTCTTAGAGAGCCAGCCTCGGGCCTCCTTAGCAGCCCCAATTTCTCACTGATATTCTGGAAGGGTTCCATCTGAGTTTAGGGGTGCACTGCACCCTTCCCATCCTGATAGTGTGTCCTAAGATTAAAAGCAGACAAAAATAACAATGATAATGAAAAATAAACCTAAAACAGTGGGTGTTTATTCTGTGGTGAATTAATGGTAATTTTTGTTTGTTTGTTTGTTTGTTTGTTTGTTTTTTGAGACAGGGTTTCTCTGTGTAGCTTTGGAGCCTATCCTGGCACTCACTCTGGAGACCAGGCTACCCACGAACTCACAGAGGTCCACCTGCCTCTTCCTCCGGCTAGTGCTGAGATTAAAGGCGTGCGCCACCAACGCGAGGCTCATGGTAAATTTTTTATAACTAAGTATGGTATTATTTTGAAAATACATTTGGGGATTTAAGACAGGCTTTCTCTCTCAATCTGTGACCCAAACATGAGCAAAAGTTCAGAATACAGCTGAAACAGTCCTCACTGAAAGCATCTGCAGTTAGGCTGGATCTCAGGCTTTAAAGAGGAGCAAAACTGTAGAAATGAGAAATTATTTTGAATGTTTTTCATTTACCATGTTTAGGTGTAAAACAGAACTTGCCATGTTGAATCAAATCAAATTGCAGCACACTCGGTTTAAAAAATACTAATAATAGCCCTGGCTTGAAAGCTAGAATTTCATTCATTTGGAAACCAGAATGATCATGGACCAGTTTTAAAGCATGAACATGCTCCAAACCACCTTGGCTAGAGCTGAGTATTATAGAACCAGACCATAAAACATGAGGGCCGGGAAAGCTCCACAGCAGTGGGAACCTCAGCGCTCCAAGTCCATGGTGAACACTCATGCCCAAACTGTGTGGTCTGGTTCAGGATGCAGCATCAGCATGAATAGGGGGATACAGGGTGGGGGAGGAGAAGCCACAGAGACAAAGTGGAGTGGAAAGATTGCTTGGGTAGCCACAGAGGCAGACTTTAAACATTCAAAGATGATTGCTTCGTTCTTCGTCCTTCTCTGTCTATCTAACCACAAAAGGCTATGGGGTACAAGGAGGAGGAAAACCCTGACTCTAAAAGGGTAATACAAGGGAATGCAGGCTGTAAATGAGTATCTGCACTGCCTGAGACTGTGCCATGGTTGGGCAATGCACCTGAGCTTAAACACAGTGGGCCAGAGCATTTCCTTGGTTCTGTTTCTTTAGCTATGCCACATCATCTACGAGGTTGTTCACTATGTGTAGTTTACTTTGCCTGTCTTCCTAAGTTGTCTAGGAGCTGAGGGGGTGCTTACTCTCAGCCCAGTTTCACAGTGGAACTTATTTCCCAATAGTAAAGCATATCTAAGGTTTGTCTTCTCTTTCTAGGTAACAGTATGACCAAATACATTGAGAAGCTAGAAGAGATTAAAAAAAGTGAGTACCACTATTGATGGCTTGGGAAAAACAATGGAACTCTGTAGTTGCTATCAGCTGGCCCCCACACTCTACATGTGTGAAGGGCTGTGGGGCCAGGTGAGCCTGCAGGGTCTTGGAGACATTGGGCACCCTGTGTCTACTCAACGTGCACCCTGTAGGGATTGTAATGCTAACATGTGGGAATAGCCACAGCCCAGGCTTCTGCTTTCTACACGCTGCTGCAGTCATTGTGGCCTTTTGTTCTAGTGCTCAGTGTTGTCTGGCCCATACCTGAGGGAGGGTAATAACAACCGTCTTCATAAAGTTCTTATTCATCGGCGAATGTTCTCAAAGGACTGAGAGGTCTAAGGAAGCCGACTTGTTCTTAGTATTCCACATTAGCCATTCATTACACTCTGTTTTCTTTTAAAATTAAAACCATATTCTTTTAAAATTAAAAACCATATTTCACACAGATCCCTTTTTAGAAGCTAATCTTCTGCAGAGATATCTGGCTGGTCACTGAACACATTGCCCTCACAGAGAATCGTCAATTTTTAATCTGTATCCAAAACCAGTCAATGTGAAATGTACATGTTGAGGCCAGAATTAAAGAAATGTAGAAACATCTGTTTTCTAAGATAGGTTCACTTTGTGTAAAGTAGGAGAAGCCAGGGCCAGGGTATTTGGCTAATAGGAAGAGGCGCTCTTACCCCAGCTCAGGATTCGGCTCTGTCATCTTGGGAGGGAAATTACAATTCCGAAATACATCAGAACTTTTTTTTCTTTGACACAGCAGACCTTTTCATGTAAAATGATGATGTCCCATTTGAATTGCACAGTATAGGGAAACCCACAGTAGATGTGGCCTTGGGGCAGCTTCCTGCCTCTTTATTTGCTACACTCAACTAGAAGACTCAGTTCTATAAACATTTTAGAATATGCATATTTAATATTAAATAATAAATACAATGTCACAGGATCATTCTTTTTTGGTTTACATGATGTCAGTTATATGCCTTAATAAATATAAGATGTATTAGATTTCTGAACTATGAAAGAAGAAGGTCTTGTTTACTCACCGACACTGCTCTGCTGTTCTCAGCTCAGCACCCGGCCGGCCTGCTTCTGTTTGGCTTTGTGGCTTCTTTGAGCTCCCTTCCATTTGAAGCCAGATGTCAGCTCACCTCACATGTCCTTACCATTATTTGTTCCATACCAGGGCCTGTCCCACCCAGATCATCTAAACCTTGTTTTAAAGCATTTCTTTAGAGCACAATGTGGTTTCCAGAGTCTCTACACTTTAATGGAGACTGTCTCCTGCAAAGAACTGTTCTTGAAATTGAATCCTTGAACATATTCCCTCCTTCCTTCCTTAGAAGTCATGGGCTCCTCTCACCTCCATCTGATAACTTTGTGCTCATCCCCACAGAAACACTTTAGATTCTGGTTTGGCACCTACGTTTTAGAAGCTGTTTCCTCCCCGCTCCCTCATTTTCTGTTGCAAGTGTTCTCTTGGGTCTAAAGGGAAGAGAATGCTGCCTTGTTTCTTGACACCCTAGACCCAGCTCTCTGCTGGCCTTTCCTCAGATGCCACATCTGTCTGTGAAATCACAAACCTTGTTCTGTTACTTTCTTTGATTTGTCTTCCTCTGTGAGTTCAACTTCCTTTTCTTTGCTAATAATGAATTTTTAACAGAACCCTGAAAATGCAGAAATCCTTTGTAACCTGAATATTCTTTGCACCGTACCTGGGGAAAACGATGCTGTCGGCTATTGACCATTGACAAAGCCCATTCTTGGGACCTGGTGGTTAGATGACACTAGTTGGATCCAGTGTGAAACATCCTAGATAGTCAGGTCTCTGTCCTTCCAGTAACTCGAGAGAGGCCAACTCAGTCCCTGGACTCACTGGAGAAGCAGAGCTTGATAGTGTGTCTGAGCTAGGATAATCTGTCCCCCCACCGAGTCTGAGAGAAGCCCAAACAGGTGAAGCTCCATTCTTAAAGCTGTGTTCGCTCTTGCGAGGACAGACTGACAGACTTGTCCAAGTCGTCTTTTTTTAAGACAACTTAAAACTCTGCACAAGACTTTGACTTGATCTTTTATCTCTGAGTAACAATGTCAGAAAGTCCTACTGATGGCTCTCCTCCTAAACCAGAACCAGGTATGTAGCGTCCAGGCTGCAGTATGTGACATTCTACAGGCTCTAGCAAAGCTAGCTGTTGATGTGGTATCATCTCTGGTTAACTACATGGGATTTTAATGTGCATTTTCTACTTAGAGGTATTTCAAGCTGTGTAACACTACCAAAAGAGTACCTGTGGGTAGATGTCAAAATGCAAGCTCCTTGAAAGCTATTTGGCTTTTCTGTTGTCTAATTTATTGCTACTTTGGTTTACAAAAAATTTTCTTTAGGTGGGCAGGTTGGTGGCAATTTGAGGGAAATGCTGTAACAGCTCGCTTGTACTCAGCCTGTTGGGATTTGCATCCAGGCACCTTTATTAACTTATTTTATCCAGTAGAAGCTGCTCTAAGAACTTTCTAGAAATAATAGTTTATTTGCCAAATTGATCTCTTCAAGACATTTTAAAACAGAGAAGTTTTAATTCTCTGCAAGAAAGAACAGTAATGTATTTAACAGATGGTTAGTTTTTAAGGTATTATTATTTCCTGACTCTAATTATTAAAGTATTTGGTAAACCAAGCTTAGATTAGCCTCCAAAGTAACCATCCAGTTTGTGCTGAGGTTTTGGGGGAATTCATGGAACTGATTAGTAACACCAAGTAAATAATCTTAAACACCTTTAATCCTTTCCTTTGTTGCTAGGAGTCCTGGTTTATGAGACATTCTGAGAAGGCCATGGCAATTATCCAGCTAACCTTTAGTAATTCTAAAATAATGAGGTGGTCTGTAAGGAGTCCTGGGCACTAGTGTAAAAACCATGAACAGGAAGGAAGGATAAAGGCGGGCAGAGTTCAACAATGCAAGCTTTAAAATTAGCATCATTGTTAGAAAAATTTCAGGAAGTGAGCTTCTGGTGAGAATCCTCGGAGCCGATATTAGAAAAGTAAGATTGTCCGCTTTTTAATGTTTGTTCATTGTAATACGAAGATGCCTTTTCTTTGTTTGAAGATAAGGTCTTGCTGTTAGTTCAGGCTGGTCTTGAACTCAGGATCCTCCTGCCTCTGCTTCCCAGTTGCTTGGGTCACAGAACATTCTACCATTGCCTGGATGATATGAAGAGCTATTGACAGGTGGTGGTGGCACACACCTTTGATCCCAGCACTCGGGAGGCAGAGGCAGGTGGATGTTTAAGTTGGAGGCCAGCCTGGTCTACATAGTGAGTCCCAAAACAGCCAGGACTTACTACACAGAGAAACCCTGTCTTGAAAAACCTAAACCAACAGAGAGCTATTACTATAACTGTAGAAGTATCCCTATTTGAGTTATATTTCAAAGCTATAAAGATGATACTAATTGAATACATATTATTTAGGTTGGTTTTTATTTGATTTTATTTGCATTTTGGTAAAAACACAAAACCTAATTTACCATCGCACCATTTTTAAATGAGCAGTTACTGAGGTTTTATTGTACAGCAGCCCTCCAGAACTTTCCTTGTGTAAAACTGACTAGGTTGATCTTTTAAAGAAACTCCCATTACGTTATGAGGCCCCATCATAACCTTGCACACACACACACACACACACACACACACACACACACTTACACACAAAGTGATGTCTCCTATCTCTGGCATAGTTCACAACCACAGGGAAAAAACGATTGCCCTCTTTGAAGTCAGAGTCACAAGAGCAGGGTAAAGATGACTCACCAGCTGCTTAGCCTGGGGCAACTTGGCTTCTCAGAGTTTCTGTCAACATCTGTAAAAGGTAGCTGGTTATCCCTTGCTTTGTTCTGAAAAGGATTTGAGCCTGCTCACACAAATGACCGCCACACAGTATGGCCATAGTGGAGACAACTTAGTGAAAGGAAAGCTCTTCAGGTGGCCAAGCACAGGGGGAGTGATGGGAACTCCAGCTTGCCTCTTTGAGTACTCTGTGAAGATCAGATGATGTGTTAAAGCACACTCATAACTTGAAAACTAGAAAGAAGAGCCCAAAGAGACCAAAATGAACCCACATAAATGCATGTTGTATTCTGCTTTTTCAGATTATAGATACAAAAAAGATGAACTTTTCAAGAGACTAAAAGTTACCACTTTTGCTCAGCTGGTAAGTTTAATGATCTTTCTCTATTGGAATAAAGGCAAATCTATGTTGTTCTATGTGCCCATTCTAGGTATCTCTGGGTTGTTTTGTTTTGTTTTTGCAAGACCTTTCTTATTTCACCATAAGGGGATGAATTGGTGTCTATGGGGGTGATGTTCACAAAAGGATGACATGAATTTTTTTTCTTTTTAATAAGAGTTCCATAAAATAAATACATCTGCATTCTATTTTTAATAGTCCTTAGGTTTTATTTTACTTTGTGCACTTAATATTTAGAATCTAAAATTTTCAATTCTAGATTGTTTGATTTTTTTTTAAACAAATAACTCCCTTGTTCTGTCCCTGAACATTCCAAACTGCTCTGCTATGAGTTTTTTCCTTACTTCAGGCAAGACATTGTCTTCCTTCACTGAAAAATTATGGACAAGGTGTCTCAGTGACTCCCAAACAAGGACCATTGATGGGACTCAAGTGATTTGGAGCTCTATGGAAGTGCTTTAAAATTATCACTGTGGGGCTGGAGAAATGATTCAGCCATTAAAGGCTAGGCTCACAACCAAAAATGATCACTGTGAGCTGGGCGGTGGTGGCCCATGCCTTTAATCCCAGCACTCGGGAGGCAGAGGCAGGCGGATCTCTGTGAATTCGAGACCAACCTGGTCTACAAGAGCTAGTTCCAGAACAGCCTCCAAAGCCACAGAGAAATAGTCTCAAAACCCCTCCCCCAAAAAGAAAGAAAAATATGTACACCTCTACACATTTCATTCTTTTCTATCAGGTCATTCAAGTTGCTTCCCTGTCAGATCAAACCCTGGAAGTGACAGCTGAGGAGATCCAAAGGCTGGAAGGTAATGAGAATTGAGGATGTAGGAGACTAACAGATTGACCAGTGAGGAAAGTGCTCACCCTGCACATTTATTGGTCTGTTCATAGGAATTTGGGTAATTAATAAGTCTATTTGCAATTAGTTACTCTCAGAGAAATGCTATCTGATGCCCTAGTTATTCTCATTTCTTTAAAAAATATTTTCTGACACACAATTTCAGTGCTTTAGATGTTTGAATATACTACTCCCTCTTTTTCTGGAAAACATTTCTAATGTCTTCTGCATAAACACAGGTTACAGAAGTCAGTGGTAAGAGACTAGAAAGCCAAGAAAACATTTCTGTTCCCATGGGATTTGTAGCTGTGCATGTACATAGTGCATACATATCTCTGTGTGTGTGTGTGTGTGTGTGTGTGTGTGTGTGTGTGTGTGTGTGTGTGTGTGTCAGGGGAGAATGATACCGTGCTAAAAATTACTATGTGACAGGATTCATTGATGGAAGGCAGCATTCATTTGTTAAGTATGTGGATTTTATTGTTTAATATTCTCAAAAGCCAGCAGGAAGGTACATTTCATAGATAGAAGCCCAAGCATCAGGAGTTAAGCCCTGGTGGCATAGCTAGTAAAGAGTGGACCCTGGGACTTCATTCTAAATGTCTCCAGTAGTAACCTTCTCGTTGTATCACCAAGGGACTCTGCAGAGATCCTTTGGAAATGTGTGAGGTGCTGTGGGAGTTCTCAGGAAGGAAGGATGTTTTCCAGTTAGACTGAGCCAGGCTTCCTGAAGCTGTCAGAACTAGGCCTCAAAGGGTACACGTTCCGGGGAATGAGGAGCCTAAGCAAGGCATGGACATGAAAGGATAGCATGTATGCCAGGAATCTGGTAATCCAGGCTGGCTTTGGTCTTCAGGGACGGGTAGACACTGGGTGGGAGATAAGGCATGAGAGATAAGCAGGCTCCAGATTTCCTTGCTAAATACCAACTGGAAAATAAAACCCGTCTAGTTGTACACTCATGAAAAGAATACACAGACTTCGGGTCTTGATTTTATCCTGAAGGACCCTGCAATCAATGTGTGCCTGTTTACTGAAAGGAATGTGTTTGTTAAGGTTGATGTAGGTCAGGAATTTAACTTCTGATTTCAAGACAAGGTTCTCAGGAAGTCTGAACACATTGGTTTTGTGCATCTCAACTGTCATTTCACTGGGCTGGTTTTTGTTAGGGAGGATAAAGAGAATCTGAAAACGACAGGAATTTATCTTTGACAGATGCCTCTCACCCGGCAGAGAAATAAGGGTTCATTGTAACAGAGATAATTGAGTCTCCTCATACAAGCGCTCCCAATTTTAACCGAGTTATATAAGCACCTAGATTCGGCCTCTAATTCATTGTTGAGATTGCTGTACCAGGGCATGTGGGCACATGCAATTTTCTCTTCTGAGATAAATTTGCACAGCAAAATAGGCTCTTGTAAAGTAGGACGCCATAATGTGTGAGTAATATTAGTGTTTTTCTAGTGCTCCACACGGATAATAGCTCAGTCAGGAGTGCCTGGAGAACAGGCCGTACCTGTTTGTGTGTTGGTTACCTTTGAAGAATGCAAAACCCTCCTTTTACAATGTTAATGCTTTTTCCTGACCTAAAAATGTGTTTCAGGATGGCAAAAATACATAAAGAAGAAAATGATAATAAATGAAAATGAATGTTGATATTCAGCTCTATTTTCCTGCATCTCCCACCTTACAATGCCTGCTCTCTGTGGATAGTTTTGCTCTGTGCCACTTTGAATTAACAGGTTTTCATGTGTATTTTCCACCGCCATTAAACAGATTTCAAAAACATGACTGTAAAAGTTGTGTTCCTGTATATATCTATCTTTGGGACATACATTAATTTAATTATTCTACGGCTGGGCATAGAAGTGTTTTTCTGATTTGTCACTTTGATGAAATAATGCCACACTGTATATGTGTAAACAGGCATGTGAGTCTCATTGTTCCCTGAAAATGAATCACTGCAGATGGTTGCAGGTGAACCCACTCCCAGGCCATCCCCAATGGGGTGTGACCTGCATGCATTCCTGTCAAGAGTGAATGGGAACACCTTGCTGCTAAAACGGAATTATTACCTCTTAAAAACTACTCGTTCATGCAATGGATAAAAATTAGTATCTAATCATCTTGTTTTTTAATTCCTTTCATAATGAAATTGAGCTGTGTGTGTATACGTATGTGCATATGCCCACATACATTCACTTACTGGGCTTCTCTCTTGCAAAAATGTTTTTATATGTTGTATCCTATTTTATTTTTCTAAAACAATGCCCATTTTTTTTTCTTATTGATTTGTGAGCTCCCTGGATAATTAATATCTTTATATATCAGGAACCAATATAATACTGAAAATGATGAGAAAAGTCTTTGTTTGTAACAATTTCCACTGAGACCAGAATTAAGGATAAAAGCTCAGTTCAGAAAGGACCGACATGTTTTACTGGGAGGTGGTCAATCAGGAACATGCCACAAGTGATACCTCTTCATTGAGGTCTTCGTTGAGACCCAGAATAAATCTTTGCATAAGAGTAAGGGGCCTAGAAGGTCTGAATAGATGCTTGCTGTAGCTGTAGTTGTATTTTTCAGGGAATGTTTAATCACTTCATTTATTGTAAGTGAGATCTTTCTCATGTTTTCTAATTAGTGTATAAAAAGCTGTGCTATGTGGTTATTAGCATTTAAATCATAACCTCGAGTTTGTTTGACCATGTTCTCCTAGTATTTGCTTGAAGGTTTCTAGGTATATTATATCATATACAAATTAAATTTTAGTCTTTTTTGAATAGTTAGGCTTCTTCTATTTCTTCTTTCACTGTATTTGTTAGAACAGGAAATCCCCAGATTTTATAGCTTCTATATTCTTTTTTTATTACTATTATTTAACTTTATTTTATGTGCACTAGTGTGAAAGTATCAGATCTCCTGGAAGTGGAGTTCCAGACAGTTATGAGCTGCCATGTGGGTGCTGGGAATTGAACCTGGGGCCTCTAGAAGAGCAGTCCGTGCTCTTAACCACTGAGCCATCTCTCCAGCCCCCCCCCCCCATATTCTTAAAGATTATTGAAGACCCAGAGAGGTTTGGTATATGTGAACTGTATTTATTCAAATTTTTATCAAATTGTATTTACTGTATAAAAATTATTGTATTTATTCAAATTCAATTTTTATTATATTATTTTGTTTTGTTTTGTTTTGTTTTTACAAGACAAGGCTTCTTTGTGTCGCCCTGGTTGTCCTGGAACTATCTCTGTAAATCAGGCTGACCTCAAACTCATAGAGATCTGCCTGCCTCTGCATCCTAAGTGCTGGGATTAAAGGCATGCACTACCACCACCTGGCCAAGTATATTAAAATTTTAACCTGAAAATTGAAGCAATATTTATTACCACTTATAAAAATATCAATTCTAACCCCATCACAAACAAAACTGGTGTGAGGGAGGGGTATTGGGGATCAAACCCAGGACTGTATGCACACTAAACACTGTCTCTTCCACTGAGGTTTATCTCCAACCCGTAAAAACATATTTTTATATTTTAAAGAATTCATTACATTTCCAACCCAGAATTTTACCAAGTGGCTTTAAGTATTTTGTAAATTTCTTTCATGTCTGTTTTAATAGACGACAGCTGACTCTGATGTCTGCTCTTTGCCTTCAGTCCGTGCAATGTGCTGTTTGGGTTGAAGTCTGTGAAGAAAATCTGACTCACATGACCTGTAGTTAGTTGGGAGAGGAAGGGGTAGTTCACTGTCACTTTAGTCAGTCAACTGTTTATACTTTCTTTGATACTGCATAAAACTGGTTCTTTGTCCCTCTCTCTTTCCCTTTCTTCCTTCCCTTTGCTCCCCCTCCTTCCTCCCTCTCTTTCCATCCACTCCCTTCTTGCTAGCCTAGCCCCCGGGCTCCCATCCTCCTGCGGATCACAGGCATGGACAGCCTGCTCAGACGGTTGTTTCCCAAGGGTTTGCTGCAGGCTGGCCTCTGACCCATATCACTGGACTTGATGCTCTGCTTTCAGCACATCTGCCTGGGCGTGATCTCATATTGGACACTGCTTACTTGTCAAATGTTGTTTGACTGAGTTATGGAAATCAGAAATGTGTCCCATGTAGGGAGGCTCTTCATCCTTCACCTCCAGGTTCCAAACACAAATTCCAAAATTCTGGGTTTTGTTCAAAGTTTAGCCACTAACAAGAAATAACATCAACTGTTTTCTTTAAAAGAATGCTCACTTAATTCATCTTTGAAACCATGTCTCCAAATACACAAGTCTAAGGACGCAGATTTTCTTACCAAGAAAAGATCCCTGCAGCAAAAATGGCTGGCTCAGCTACAGCCTAGCAAGCATTCTAATCCTTACCCCTAACATTGCCACAGGATCTAGAAAACTACCCTTTCACCACACAGAATATTCCAAAGGCAAATGCTTGCATCAGATCCCCCCCACCCCTCTCTCGTCTTACTCTGTAGCTCTGGCTGGCCTGGGACTGTCTCAAAAACATCAGTCCTCTTGCCTTGGCCTCCCAAGTGCTAAGATTACAGCTGTGAGCCACCACACCAGTTCAAGGTGAAATTTAATGAAAATTATTAATCATTGTTTTATGAGGAACACTCTTTAGTGTGACTGCCAAATGTATTTACTGTGACAGCGTGTGCAACAGGGAAAAGTTATGACTGCTAATAAATGTGGTGTGACTTCCTTGATGCTTACCGGAGTGCTGCTAGAGTTTTCACACTGTCTTCTTTGTCCCGTTAGAGCAAATATAAATTCAGTTTTTAAAAAATGACAGGGGTTGTGAATTTAGCTTGGTTGATAGAACACTTGCCTACCAAGTTCAGGGCACAGATTCTGTCCTCAACTGGGGTGGGGGTGAGAACACATAACATCTTAAGAAATAGTTTTCACTTAGTAGACAGCACAAAAGGGTCTTGAGAAACTCCTGGGGTTTATTTCACTACATTTTAAGAGCTCTGTGTGTTACAGCTTCTAGAATAACTTAGCAATAGTGATATGATTGTTTTTTTTTTTTTAGCTTTGCTTCAATGGAAATGTCGAATAAGTAAATTCCAATCCTGAGATTCCATTTGGTTAGTTCTTTTTTATTTTGTAAAAACCTGCATTAATATGGACATAGGTGTGAGTAGGTGGCCACACACGTGGGCCAGTGTGCATGTGGAGTCAGTCAGAGACAAGCCACAGGAATCGCTTCTCCCTTCACTAAGAGGCTGTCATGACAGCAAGTGCCTTCACCCGCCTAAGTATTTCTTCATTGCAAATTTTAGACAATGATTCTGCAACTTCAGAAGCTGATGCTGAAATTGCTGCCAAGACCAATGGGAAAGAGAGCCCTGGGGAGCAGTCACCCAGTCCTGTCCAGTTCATCAACAGCACAGGAACAGGGGACTCCAGCCGCTCCACTCTCCAGAGGTACTGGATTCAAGCATTTGACCCACTGCAGAGACTGACTTACCTGAAACAGAACTGGCAGCAGTGATGTCCCACATTTTAATCCCAGCCCTTTACATCCTTTCTTTTCATTAAATATTACCTGGGCCCTTTTCACTTCTTACTGAGTTAATGGGAGAGTGGATTAATAGGCATGGATTAATTTTTACCTCTCAGTTCCATTCTTCTCAACCCGTCTACATGTGGGCTAACTAGGGTCTAGCTTTTCCGGGTACTATATTTCTATTCTCAGCATGAATTTTGCCCTGTGTAGAATAAGAAAGACACATTGCCCCCAGAATGCCCTGTACTGGCGTGGAACAAGTACAGAGGAGACTCACAGCAGGCGTTGGCATTATTTTCAAACTGCACATGGCTCATCCTTTTTATTTACGAGGACCTTATTGCATGCATTACATCTCACAAATACTAACTTGATTATAAGACTGGTGCTGGATTTTATCATGGATCCACCCCGTCTCCTCACAAAACACTTCTGCTAGAGAAATTTCTAGCAAAAGAATCCCCATCATTGGTGCCACTGTGTTAATACTTTCATAGCTACTTCTCTGAAAAGGGGCTATATAAAATGTGTTCAGGGAGATATAGGTGAGGCTAGAGAGATGGCTCAGCAGTTGCTCTTGCATACTCACAAAACAAAAGAAAGATTTAAAAAGAAGAGATACAGGCTACCAGTGCTTCCTCGGAGGGTGTGGGTTCCTATCAAATAGGTTTTCTTCTTCTTGGCTTCAATGAAATATGCACTGTGTAGGATGGAGTCATAGTGTTTATGGATCTCTGGTTTAGCAGCACCTTGATATGTCCTGAAACGGTAGCATCTTCCTTCCTTCCTTCCTTCCTTCCTTCCTTCCTTCCTTCCTTCCAGACCCTTTGCCACTTGGCATTTTGTTCATGGTACCTGGTCTTCTTAGTTCTCTTATGCTCTGCCATATTTTCTGTATGACATTAAGATGGCAGCTCATGTTTAATGGACCTTAGAAACAGAACTGTCAGTGATGAACTCCCTTATTTTAATCCTAGCTCTTCCCTTGTCACATTATATGAGTGCCACTAACTCTAAAAGCCTCTTCAGGCTCATCCTCATCCTGTGTAAATTGGAAGTAAGTACAGATAACTATTGAAAATAAGGTTCAGTGTCCACTTTGGGTAGGGCACTGTGTAAGTACAGTCACACATCACTTAATGACGGGACATTCTGAGAAATGTGTCATTAGATGATTTTTTTTCCATGATGGAGCATCCAAGAGTATACTTAAACTAAAATGGCTCCCCATCACTCTGCAGGATCATCTTAAGGGAGCACCATTATGTTCTGTCCTCGTCTGACGGGAACTTCTTCACATGGTCTCTCGGCCTGCATGTGAAATCTGTGAAACATTGGTGCTGTCTATTGTGTTTATTATACATAGAAACCTTTTGCATTCCTCTTGTCCTGCAAATCTTGTTCTCTGCCCACTTATTCTGTTTTCTTTTTTTTATTATTTTATTTTATTTTATTAGTTCAAATTAGGAACAAGCTTGTTTCAGATGTCAATCCCTTCTCCCTCTCCCTCTCCCTCCCCTCCCCCCCAACATC